CAAAAAAGATAGGTTTAAACTAGATTTGTTTGTTTTTTAGATGAAGCGTACACGCTTTAAGCTACTACTGCCAGTCAACGTAACTATTTAAAATTTTGAACCAAGATCAACTTTAACTTAGCTCGTGTATCCAATCAACAAGATTAAAGCAAATCAAAGTTGACAAAAAAAGCTAGGTTTAGACTAGATTTGTTTATGTTTTTTAGATCAAGCGTACACGCTTTAAGCTACTACTGCCAGTATAATCTGAGCACGATCTGATTGCTTTCAAATTCAAATGTTACTCACCCGATCTCCATCAACGATATGCGGTTTCTGTTGAATCGCCATCGCGGCACTCTGATGATCGAGATAGGTGACTGAGGCGAATCCACGGTGGAGGCCTGTCTCGGGATCCTAAAAATAAAAAATATTTTAAAGAACTTCAATTTCAAATCAATCAAACTATTATAATGGTCTAAAACAACTGTTAAAGCAATTGTTTTCAAGCCTTTAATTCGCAACAAAATAAAACTCACAAAAAACATGGAAATCTTCTCAATTTGGCCGAACTTTCCGAAGTACGACCGAAGTTGCTCTAAAAAAAAAGTTCATTTACCAGTAAAGGTTTATTTAAATGTAGTCATATTTAAAACTTAATCCATTCTAATTGCAAATATTGCATAAAACTGAAAAAGGCTACAAAAATCGACAAACGTGTACCTCGTCCGGTCACCCATTTGACATGCGTGAGAAAAACGGTCGTGGGTCGCTTCGGCGCGTTTGTTCCAGCGCTCACCAACTAAAAACAAAAATAAATAACAAAATGACAGTTTTCATGCTTTAATTTCTCAACGTTAACATCTCAAGGCTTCATTTTAGCTTTAGAATAAAAATCTAGCTTTTTAATTACCTGATTCACTTGTCTTCCGAAATTCCCGAGAGCACGGCTCATCCCAGAAATTTGATGTTTCTGGAAGGAAAAATTTTAATATAGATCAGTAAATCATAGCAAAAACAAAGTAAAAATGGCTTAGAATTGAAAATTTTACGGATTTTGCCAAAAAAAGTGAAGAATGATGCAATCTGACGCGCTGTCTAGCTGCTATTTATACACCTTAAGGCATCGAGTTAACCGTAGAATCGTTTAAAAAACTAGTTAAAAATCAATAACGCTGTCGAACTTAAAGAAGTTTAGAAACTTTGATCCAATCACAAAAGATAAGAGAACTTTTATAAGACTAAGATCATGGGTATCAATGCGCACATGACCCTGGGCCGTACCGATAAAAAGGAAGAAGCATTGGGACACTCGAAGCGAAAATTTTCTTGGGGTTGAAGGGAGTTCCTCGTGATCGAAACGGCGGGGCAAACGGATAGAGAAAAGAAGGAAAAAAATGGAGGAAACAGGAGAAAAATGAGAAAAGAGATCAGTGGAATCACCCGCTTTTTGCCCAATTTCTCTGCATGACGTACTCGAAAAGAATGAGAGGGAATGGCAGAGTGGGGATGGGAAAAGAAAGTGATGAGAGGAGCACATGTCTGCCATGAAAAGTGACAGACGGGGTTTTAATCTCAAGTCGCGTGTTGCCTAATAAAGCGTTTCCTAAAAAAGTGTCCCTTTCCCCGAAACTGCCGTAATCTTATCTTTATTTTTTATCCAATCTATCCACTTTTTGTATCTTTTGATATTCCTTGTGAACCCACAGAGAATTAGACCAAAAGGTGGATAGATTGGACAAAAGTTATAGACGATTACGATGGTTTTAGGGAAGGGGCACGTTTTTAGGATACGGCTGAAGTCAAAAAGAGTTAATGAGTCAAAAATGAGTGTAATTTTAAGGAAACGTAATGTGTAAAAAAGATATTCAGCTTAGGTGACGAGTAACTGAAAACAAAAAAAAATATAAAACAAAAGTTCAAAAAGCTTTTGAAAGAATGAAAAGATTCATTTTTTGTCAAGTCAGCGCAAATCTATAATAGTCTCATTTTTCTCCGATTTTTAGTGGTTTTGTGCGGAGTTGTGTGCCCCTGAACGCGTAAATACAATTGTCGCCGCGTTTTTGACCTGCCCCGACTGACCCAGACCCAGATTTTCTTTGTTTTCTCTTCTCTTAACTTCTAAAAATCTTATTTGAACTTGGAAAGTAAATAGTGTTATCATTTTAGATGTCCGACTCGTCCGATGAGGAAGTTTTGGTGAAAACTGCGCCCACTCAACCGTCGAAAAGTCGCGTGAAAAAGAAAAAAGAACAGAATGAAAATGTGAGGAATTCTTGAAGATATTGACTTGTAAAATCTTTGACCTCTATCCAAAATTGTGGCTTTAATTTATGGTCTTTACTCAATGATGTATGTTTAGGTGAAGAATGGAGCGAAAAACGACGAGGAGAGCGATTCGGGAGAAGATGTGGGAAAAGAGGTTGAAGAGGATACGAAATCGTTTGCGGAATTGGTTTGTGGCTTTTAAAAGTTGTTAGCAAGCTTAAAAGTCATCTTATAAAAAATTGGCAAAAATTTTGCCTATGTTGCCTATTTTCTTAATGAAGATTCTACCATGAAAGCTAAATTGTTCAAAAGTTGACAAGTTAATAAAGTAAGGATAAATTTGAAATCCTTATTTTTGTTCTGATTTAAAGTTTTTAAAGCTTGGTTTATGTTAAAAATAGGTGTTTGATAACAAATCGAACAGATAAGTTTTTAGGGAGTGACGGAAATCCTCGTGGAAGCTTGTGAGCGGCTCGGGTGGAAAGAACCGTCGAAAATTCAGCGACTTTCTCTACCGGCAGCCCTTTCAGGACGAGACATCATCGGATTAGCCGAAACTGGGTGAGTAGTCACTTAACAGAAGCTGAAAAGTATTGACTTTATGGAACTATGTAATTTCTTCAATTTTAGATCGGGAAAGACAGGCGCTTTCGCATTGCCAATCCTCCAATCACTCCTCGAACACCCACAGAAGCTCTTCTCGTTGATATTGACGCCCACGCGCGAGTTAGCCTTTCAAATTGCTAAACAATTTGAGGATTTGGGCACACGGATTGGACTGTTAGTAGGTTTGTGAAAAGGAACGCTTACCTTGCTAAAGTACTAATTTTTAGCGGTGATTGTCGGCGGTGTTGATATGACGACGCAAGCGATTGCACTGGCTAAACTACCGCATATCATCGTGGCGACACCCGGGCGTTTGGTTGATCATTTGGAGAACACGAAAGGTGGGTTGTACTTAAAACTCACAAAATCCTTCTTCTTATATGAAAGTTAGTTAGATAATGGCAATTGGCATATTTAAAAGTATGATCAACTATGGCTATGCTAGTTTTGATAAAAGTAATGAATAGCTGATAAAAGCAAGCTGTGACATTCACATTTTTTTTAGGTTTCTCCCTGCGAGCTCTCAAATTTCTCGTCATGGATGAAGCGGATCGCATTCTCAACATGGACTTTGAGGTAATGAATTCATAATTTTTTTGCAAACTTTTTGAAAATTTAGGTTGACTTGGATAAGATTTTGAAAGTGATCCCACGTGAGCGACGGACCTATCTCTTCTCAGCCACAATGACGAAAAAGGTACGGGAAACAATTTTCGGCTCATTTTTATGCTTTTAGTTATTGAGATAGTTTTGTAAGTTATGCAACTAGAAACAAATTCGGAATCTGAAGGATTCCAGAATATGTATGGCTTTAGGTGCAAAAGTTGGAACGAGCCTCTTTGCGAGATCCTGTTCGAGTTGAAGTGAACTCTCGGTACAAGACGGTCGACACGTTGGTGCAACAGTATATCTTCGTTCCACAAAAGTACAAAGTCAGTTTATTGCTTGAATTTATTTTAATTTTAATTTTATTCATTTTCAGGAGTCCTATCTTGTTTACTTGTTGAACGAGTTGGCCGGCAAGACGACTGGAATTGATCGGCCGAAGCTGGCAATTATTTTTGTGGCTACATGCCTTTCCGTTGACACAATTGCAAGGATGCTGAGACAATTGGGAATGGCGGCCGTCTCACTGCATGGACAAATGACACAGGTTTGTTATAGTATGAGACATAGTAAATGCAATTAGTACTTAGAATACTCGTTTTTTCAGCAAAAACGTCTTGGCGCGTTGAATGCTTTTACGACGGGTTCCCGAAATATTCTCGTCTGTACAGATGTAGCATCACGAGGTTATTTAGCTGTTTTACACCATAAAAGCTTTTGAAGGTCTTGACATCCCCGAGGTGAACTATGTGCTCAACTACGATGTACCTGGGCAAGCGAAAGATTACGTACACAGGTACGTTATTGTTAGTTGGGGGATAAAGTTTGCTTTTCTAGGGTTGGAAGAACGGCTCGCGCAGGCAGATCCGGATTGGCGATCACTTTTGTCACACAATATGAGGTAGCCGAATATCAAAGAATAGAGGCACATATTGGTGAGTTATTTGTGAAATTTTGAGTTAAACTTTCCATTGTTAAGGCAAAAAGCTCACCGATTACCCGTGCGTGGCCGATGATGTTATGCATTTGGTAGAAAGGACGAATGAGGCAATGAAAGCGGCACGTGAAGAGCTCAAAGAGATCGAGGAGCGGAAGAAACGGGGAAAGAGGTGGGGAAATTTAAAATCTAATGTTTTTGTGTAAAAGTTTTGTTATACGACTAAATTCTTGACTTATATTTTTCATTTCAGAACTTATGACGATTCGGACACCGAAGAGAAAGCGGGTGGCCGTTTCAAAAAACGACTCAAAAATCAGAATCAGAAAGGAGGGCCGAAGATAAAGGATAAATTGGCGAAACGATAATGGAGCTTCCTACCGATTGTTATGTTTTGAAATTTCTTGTTAAATTTTTGACTGTTATTGTTACTTCATTGTTGTTGATGTTTATGCTTTTTTTTTTGTTGATAAACTTTTTCAAGTCTGCATGCAAATCATTTTGCGAAGTTTGACCTTTTGGATATCTTATCGCACTTTTTAAAAACATACTTTTTATTGAAATTTTACAGAGCTGTCCATTTTTTTGCTGGATGTAAAGTGGAATGAGTCGATCGGTTGAAATGGCAAGATTTTAAAACTTTGCAATTCTAGTGAATGGTTTTTTCTTTTAAGCCAAATAAAAATTTGTGGCAGTGAGCCTGTTGACGAAAAATTCATCAATCACTTTAGATTGTTATCGAGTCGGATGACGAGGACGACTCAAAGCCCAGTCAGAAGATCCAAGCGGCTAGGGAAAAAATTCAAGCAGCGGCAACGAGTCGGTCGGAACGACGGGAGAGGTGAGAAGAGTTGAAGTGTAAATCTGGACTGTGATGCGTAGTTTACATTACAAATTTGCCGCTAAAATTCAAAAAGCGTTGACACGAGTGAATTTTCTTCAGTATCGAGCTAAGCAATTATTGGGGGTAGGTGAAATTGTCAAAATATTGAAGGCGGATGTAAACAGATGGCCTATCCTAATTCATTACCGCACGTTACTTGACATTAAACAAACATCACTAATTCTCATAACATTAATGACTACAAGTTGAGTTTACAGTTTGCAACTTGAAAATGCGGATGATAAATTTACTGATGAAGCTTTTTTCCATTTTAGGCCTCGTTCATCTCGTTTCTCGGTGCCGCACGATTTGATTCGCGACGGAATCGTGTACGTCCAGGAGAATTACTACTTTGTTAGTTTTTTTGTTTAACATAAAAAGATTGAACGATAAGCATTGTCTCAACAATCTCAACAGTTTCAATTTCTAATTCGTACCTTTAGTTCTTTCGCCATTTCCTCGATCAAGTGAACTACCATGGGCGAAAACGAAAGGGAGATTTGCTGAAGCTAAAGGAGTTGATTGAGGGTGAGTTTTGAATTTTGATTTAGCATATATTTTGTTATTTCTCCTAACAAAGATCCAAAGCATTTTGTTTAGATGCGACACCCGCCGAAAAGAGTCGAATCATGTTGCCGAGGGAGCTCGAGCATGCCCGAAGTCGTCTACTCTACTGTGAGCTCGTCATTGAAGGCCTGCCGAGCGGTGTTTTCTTCGGAAGCGGTTTCGGTGCAAAGTAAGTCTTGTTGAGTGTTTATATTTTGCAATGATAAGTAGGAACATGAGATTAAACTATACAGGGTGTTTCAAAAAAGTCAGTTCAGCGCGATTTTTCTCAGAATTTCTAGTGGCTCCTGGTGGTTGTTGTGGTGCCAAAGTGAATATTTTCGGCGGGTACATTTTTGATATTTTGTGACTTTTCCCGATTTCATGACTCCCCAATACATGAAATTTCTGAGCCACCATGGTCTCCACCACCATATGGACCACCAGCATGAGACTTTTTGCCATAATTGTACTGGCGTCGTGGTGCATAATAAACACTATTAGAATAACTACAAATTTTAAGCATACACTTTATTGATCAGCGTTTCCTTGGGAAAACCGGACACTTTAAAAAGAGGCGACTTGGAAATCTATTATGTATGACAGATTATCATATAATGTAGATGATAAAGTGTTTGGTTAAAAATCTTAGTTTATATAATAAATTTATATAAAAGCTTAGTTTATATATTAACTCTAATATGACACCACGATGCCAGTACAAAGTTTTAATTGAAAAAGAAAAAGTCACAAAATATCAAAAATTTACCCGCCCAAAATATTCACTTTGGCACCACAACAACCACCAGCCACTAGAAATTCTGAGAAAAATCGCGCTGAACTGACTTTTTTTGGAACACCCTATACATAGTTAACTGACACATGCTATGGTAATTTTAGAATTTTTTTTATGGTACTGGTTTTTGCAATGTTAGATTATGGAACAAACCATTTAAATACAATGAACATACAAATCGGCGTGTTTATCCAGATTTCCCATTTAATCTTTCCAAACTTTCTCTTGAATAGGAAATTACAAAAACAACACCTGGTAATTTGTGATTGGTAAGCTACAATTTGGAGATCGATGAGAGCAATGCGACGAGCTTTGAAATAGAACAACGTATGAAACAAACCATGATATTGTGGTCTTGTGGAGGCAATGATGGACAAAGATTGATTAAAAGCTGGAGTGCCTGGTTAAATGGCCCAACTAAATTCTATGCAACAGTCAATTGTACAACAAAAGATACAAGAATCGAAGTCGATAATTGAAGCAAATGATTGAATTACTGAAAGAAAGCAAACCGCTACAAAAAAGCTACAAACAGTAAAATTTGAGTTAAAGACTCGAATGATTCAAAGCTAAAGAATGATTACCAATTGAAAGTTAAAGGAATATTTGACTTTCGAAGCAATGGTAGACTATTGGTAAATCATTCCAAAGGATACAAAAAGCAAAATGAAAGGCTGAGACAAAATGACAAGTGTCATCAGAGATGATTTTTAGACAATATCACAATCCCGTGAAATTTCGTGAAATATCTAAAGTGATATTTCCAAAGCAATTGTTTGGAGTAGTTTGAGACAAGTTATTCAGCAACAGAGCTTAAGTACAAAATGTCAAAAGAAATCTTGTATGGAAGCCAACAACTTACCAAATTGAACAACGAGCAATGGATGGACAATAAAAATGCAAGTCGAAGTGAAAATCAAGAAAAGATCTCGGATGACCAAATCAAAAACGAAATCAACTTGTTGGATTATCGAAAATGAATATTGATGGAAGTAAAACATTGAAAGAAATAATTGGTAAACCAAATGACAAGAAGTTGCTGTTGAATTTAAGCCAGAGGCCTTGATGAACGTAAAGTTTTTAGAATCAATCAATTAGTGAATGAAAAATAAATCCAAACTTTCTGAAGCATCCAGGCCAATCGAGACAGCCATTTGGTCCATTTGGTCGCACTAAACTCTCAATTCAGCGATTGGCAAGGGAATACAAAAGTCGAGAGAAGGCTTTAATCACAAAATTTTATTTAGCAAAAGGTCCATGGTCGGTCGTCAGCATGCTAGGTACAGGCTAAGTTTTTCTTTTAGAAGTCACGAGGCTCGCGCGTCTGCTGCAAAAGATTTGTCGGACAAGTGCCTAAAATTGGGGATTTTCACGAGGGAACTCTGCGAGACCGCTAGTCTCATGGATGGAAAAGCAGTCAGTTTTGTATATTTTCAGCATAAAATTGCATGTGAAAAAGAAACATTGGAAAATAGAATCGTTAGCACTTATGGGCTATTCAAATCAAGGTCAAAATCAAGACCAAACCAAAGCCAAGAAAAGTTTTCGAACGGGCTGTATGAACTGTTTTACGAGATTTTGCAAGGCAATCTTGTCGAGAATATGCAAATTTTGCTCAATAAAACTGTTCTGGAAGTGTTTTTTTTTTTAGAAAATCCGTATTCCGCACATGCGTCCAGCAGGTGAAGCGATCATAAACATTTGCGATTTCATGGGAAGAGGTGTGTGCGGGTGTTTTTTCGCGTTTAGGTTTTTATTTAGAGCTCTGGCCATCAGATGTGATGACGGCACGCGAACTGGAACCAATTGTGATCGAAAGATTGAAGAAACTCTTCGACAAGGCGATTCGGCGAGCTTACGAAGTCGGTACAGAGCGCAAAGTGCTGTTTAAGCGGCTGTTACGTATCAAAATTTGCGTAGGATTTGCCAAATTGCACTAGAGCTACCGTAATCCTGGTCTGATTTGTGAAAATTTCTATTCTAGACCATGAAAGTTATTGTTTTAGAGAACCAAAGCTTTTTTTTTGCGTGAATTGCCATATAAGCTCTTATAAGCCAGTTTGCTAGTTTAATTTTTTTATTTCAGAAAATCCCAGAGCATCCGATGAATCAACGAGACGTCCCTCCATCCGTCGGTCACATTCGCGACTATCCATCAAGTAGCCAACAAATGGGCATCTCCTCATCACAACGCTGCATTCACTGTCAAGAGTATGGACACAGTTTGGAGCGCTGCACCCTGCTCATTCAACAAATGGAGATGAAAAAGCGACAAGCGGCCATCAAAAGTCCCGCGAAACCAGCGGTTCCTCGTTTCGTCGGAGGAACCAAGCCTGTCAATTTGCCCTACAATGGTTCGTTGACCCAGGATTTGCGAGCCTCTCAGATTTTGAATCGCCAGCCAGTGTCGGTGGATTTTTATGGATTGCCGATGATGCAACAACAGTCACCGTTCATTCCACCGGTGATTGTGCCTCAAAGTGCATCTCAAATTGTGCCGACGACCCACGTCTTCACCGAGCTGGAGATTCGACGCAGAGTTGAGGCGGAGTTGAAAGAAAAGGAGCGAATTTTAGAGGAGCAAATTCGGGAGAAAATTCTGAGAGAGGAAAAGGACAATTTGGAGAGAAGATTGCGTGAGGAGAAAGAATTGGTCGAGAGGAACAAAATGATGACAAGCTCGACGTTTGGTGCAACAATAACGAACCCAAGTCAATTTGGAGCAGCCACCTATGCTGAGAAGAACATGCTGCCAAGTACCACGTTCGGAGCAACGACAGCCTATTCTGCAGCCTCAAATCCGGCGAAACCACCGCAGAACTATAATCCGCATGCGGCCATTCCGATTCTAAACGCGTACGCGAATTTTGGCGCGCCGAAACAAGAGGAGAAAGTGATGTGGACAAGTCGAAAAGGCGTGAATGGGTACGGATTGGGCACTGCTTTCGGTCTAGTACGAGAAGGCAATCAATTTGTGAAACAGGTAATTGGGAATTTTTAGTTGAAAGAAGCGTTTTGGATGTGGCAGTTTGCTCAAACATGAAACAGATTTATAAAGATGAGCAAAACACTTTCTTGTGGAGTTTTGCGATTAAATCAGTCCGTACTTTAAGATTGGCAACTTGCTTTATGAAGTTTAAATTGGAAAATGACTATAATTTAGCCAACTGAAGGTAAACACCAACTTTTTCATACTAACCTTTATATTTTTCTTCTTTTAGGGTTTGATGTGGCTTAGCCCGGGCGATCCGATCCACAAGATTCAACGCATTGCCACCGATTGCGAGGAAACACTCGAGATTTTGGAGAGAAGGGTTGAGGTGAGGAAATTGTGGTTTTTAGTTTAAAAATACGATTTTTGAAACTAAAATGGTTAAGATGTAAATTTTCTGTTTTAGACTGTTTCCGATGCTGAGATGCTAGAGTCACTGATGCAGGCGGTGAGCGAATTGGGCGAACAGGCGCGTGTGATGACCGAGCAGCAACAGGTACTGAATTTTGAATGAGAAAGTTCCTTAAGCTCTTCGCCTAAATGTTAATTCTATCATTTAGGTGGGGATGCTCACCCAGCTGCAGCAACTGCTCAATCAAGCGCTGGAGGAGAAACGAAAGAAAGTGGAATCAGGGAGTGCCTCGACGTCATCTCGATCACAGAGGGATCGCTCAACGGAAAGAGATTGGCGAGGAAGTAGACGATACGAGAGAAGAAATGGCGATGAAAGGAGGATGAGGTCGAGAAGTCGATCGCCACAATTTGGACATCGACAAGGAGTTTTCGATGATCCGGTGCAGCGGGTATCGGTTATGGTGGGTTTTTTACGTCTCACTATAGTTTACATTTATGCAATAACAATATTAGATGGTAGAAAGAGACTGTAAAACTGTGTGTAGATTACAGTGCGAAATTAAAGTCAAGTTCATTCTTTACTTTAGATTGACGGGAAAGAGGTTGTGCTTTTACCAGTGTCGAGCAAAGAACACGTGAAGGCAGACGAGAAATTCTTGGCGCAGGACTTCAAAAGCGGAAAATGGGAATCGTGTCGATTGCTCAAGGTGGGTTTTTGGTAGTGAGAATTGGGTTTTGCATAAAGTTCAATCGTTACGTCGTACTGTGGGGTACAGAAAGGGTGCTATAACGGTGCGTAGAGTGCTTGGAATTGAAAATTGAAAATTCACTCAAAATCCTTCAATTTCCAGGTTCTGTCACCGATTCATGATGAGGCGGCGCCCCGTTTGCTTCTTCGTCTTCCGAATGGAATCCGTTGGAAGCGTCAATTCTCGGAAATCTTCCGTGAACAACGATATTGAGCTTTTCTCGTTGATTTTCTCTCAATTACAGCATAATCCCCAAATTTGATTTCTTTGAGCAGCTGATCGGTGTCTTTTGGTTGTGTGGTCCAATCTCTTGTTTTTTTTTCTGTTTTCTCGTCTTGTTTTGTTTTTGCTATTGAAAATAAATTATGAGATGTTCAATGGGAAATCTCTTTAGGCAAAAGAAGCAAAATGCTTTTTGCTCTTTTTGGAATCGGAATTACGGTAAATTGAAGAATCAAATTGTTCTCGACAGTATTAACTGGCAGTATGAGTGCAGGAATGGCCGAGTGTCAATGAGTTAGACTACAAAGCAGGCAAAGACTTTCTAATTCGAGTCCGTCGTTCTACTTCTTTCTTTTGCTCTTTTAGATTTGCAAAGTTAATTGTTCTCTATTTTAAAATACTTCCCAAAAAAAATGTTTACTTATAACTATTGACATCAAAAAAAGGTATCATTAAAAATAAAACTTTGACATCAAATGACGATTCGCGATTTTCATTCGATACTCTCAAAAAGATTTTTGTTCAAATTTGATGTTTTCCCTGGTGAGAATACAAATTGACTTTTAAGTCTTGTGCTTTTCGTAAATGTATTCAATGCTATGCTTTTCCCTTTTCATCTTTTTACATCGACATCATCAATGTTAAAGTTCTTTTTTTTTAAATTTTAATGATAGCTATTTGATGTTAATAGTTGAAAATAAACATTTTTACGAAAATAACAGTAAAATAAACTTATTTGTATAATAGTAATCCAAAAAAGTAGAACGACCGACTAGAACTAGAGAGCTTTTGCTTTGTATTGCCATTGCTATTGCCATTGCCCATTGCCAATCGGCCACCACTGCCTCTTAAAATCTCTCGAAAATCTGCTTATAAGCTCCGGGTGATTTTTGAAAGACCATACAAAACTTTGCATGCTTCTAACTTTTGACTGAGTGCTTGATAGCAGAAACGGAAAACAGTTTCGGAATCGGCGTTGAATTCTGCATCGAATAACCCGTGGCACATGTCATTTGGTCACCACACTCAGTTCACATTTCCTTGTAAGCCTTTTCACTTTTTGGGAAAGAAAAGAAAACAAGAAGCGAATCTTTGGATCGTTTTCAAATTTGGTTCACACAAAAAATGTGACTGATTTGAAAAAGGGGAAATTGTCACCATTGATGGGTCATCATTGATGGGTCATCATTGATGGGTCACCATTGTTCACTTGTTCGCTTTTTTTCTTATCTCTTGGCTCTTTTGTTTTCTTTTTTAGCAATTTCAGTTGAGTGGGGCATCACTTGGGTGGTAAAATAGTTGGGTGGTCCAGTGGGCGGGGCTTCATTTTGCCAAGAGCAATCGATGAAGAAACGGACGAGAAAACGATGGAGGAATTAGGTTTCGGGTGTAACTTTTCTATGGCTAAGCATTAAGCATCGATCTTTCTCGCATTTCCCTTTCCGATTATCTGATTGGGTTTAATTTGTGGGTTCGAATTTGAAATTTTCATAGCATAGCATAATTTCACTTTTAAAAAAAAAAAAAACCTTTATTTTGCTCAAAAAGGGTACAAATTTTTCTGTTTTGAGGAAATTCCATTCAAAAATTTGCATTTATATCTTGTAATTTATCTCATTTTATATCAAAATTTAGAGATTTTTCGGGGCAGGCTAGCTTCCGCAACTTTTTTTTTTGCGCAACTGGGTCGTTTCCGCAACTCACCATAACTTTCTTCTAAGTGGGCTAATCTTTATGATTTTGATTTCATTTTGTTGCACTTATTGAGATCTACAAAATGAGACCAAAATCATAAAGATTAGCCCACTTAGAAGAAAGTTATGGTGAGTTGCGCAAATGACCCAGTTGCGCAAATGGCCCTGTTGCGCAAATGACCCAGTTGCGCAAATGGCCCTGTTGCGGAAACTAGCCTACCCCGATTTTTCTGCTTACATAGAAATTACAGAGATTTTTTCAAAAAAATGAATCACACGCCAACAGAAACGAATTGGGGTTTTGTTTTTTTTGTTTTTTTTTTTTTGAGGTTTCCTTTGTGGGAACTCATTTTTTTGGATGGAAATATTGTAGAAATTTGATTCTCTGCAGAGTTTTTGAATAATTTTTGTGTTTTTTTTTTTTAGAAGAAATCTTCTCACTGAAGACCTTTTCTTCGACACAAAACTGCAGAAATGCACAGAAATCGTGACAAGGAGATCTTGTGGGAGAATGTGCTATCGGAGGTGAGTTTAAATCTCAAAAAAAAGGTGGCTAACCAGGAAATCTAGTGTAACTGTTAGTTTAAAAATTTTTTTTTAATATTTAAAGCAAATTGAAAGTGCAGCCAGATTTCTAGCGGACATTCAGAAAGCTTTTTCGAAATTACGGCCTTAAAAATGCGTCTAGTTCAGATAACCTCTCGGCTTTTGGTATTAAGAAGACTTTCTAGAGTGCTTACTGGTTTCGATCAAAAACAACAGTGCTTACACGATCAGCTTGAAGCTGTGTTTTTAGATTTTGCTAAAGCTTTCGACTCTGTCCCTATTAAATTCTTAATTCACAAACTAAATGCATATAAAAGCTGCCCCTCGATGATTTCAGCTATTGAAAGTTTCCTTACTCAGCGAACTTTCAAAGTTCTTCGAAACGATTCTCTCTCTCTCTCTCCCCGTCCTTTGATTCCTCTAGCGGTGTACCCCAAGGAAGTATTCTGGGTCCTACACCCATTCTAGAGTATGCATCTATAGTTTGGTCTCCACATACACTGCATAAATGTTGCATACAAGTTGATATCTCTCGCCTAGAAAAAAATCCATCAGAGATATACTAAGATAGCTCTATGGAAAAACGATTTTTCCAAATTTGCAAACTTTATTTACACAGATAGACTCAAAATTTTTGATCTTAAATCTCTTAGACATCGCCGCTCGGTCACGGATTTAATAGAATGTTTGAAAATTGTAAAGGACGGGCAATCTATCCCTCTTTTTCGAGATTTATTCAAAGTTAATCCCACGGTTAGTGGAAGGATAGGTGTATGAACTCGTGTGTATTCATCTTAAATCTAGCGCACTTTATCTCAGGTCATGAATAAAATATCTATAGGCAAATTATTATGTTGATATTTAATGTTGTTGTTGCTGTTGTTGTCAAGGTGTTGTTGTTGTTGTTGTTGCTAGTGCTGTTGTTGTCAAGGTGTTGTTGTTGTTGCTAGTGTTGTTGTTGTTGCTAGTGCTGTTGTTGTTGCTAGTGCTGTTGTTGTCAAGGTGTTGTTGTTGTTGTTGTTGCTAGTGCTGTTGTTGTTGCTAGTGCTGTTGTTGTCAAGGTGTTGTTGTTGTTGTTGCTAGTGCTGTTGTTGTTGCTAGTGCTGTTGTTGTCAAGGTGTTGTTGTTGTTGCTAGTGCTGTTGTTGTCAAGGTCACTCCTGACGTTTTAACCACGTTTTGTTGAATGTAAACGAAAACATATTAACAAATTATCTAGAGTTAAACAATAACGACAGACATAACAACAATAACAATAACAAAATTAACAGGCCAGGAGATTAACAAAGGTTTACAAAATTATCCCTTGTTCAAGCAGGAATTGCTATGGTGACATCGGCTATTACAGAGGACATTGGCTATTCGACAGGCACAGCGTCGATTCAAACATCCATTTGTGCAGTTGCAATGTTTATGGCCGAAAATAAGAAATAGTATCAATTTTGAAATGAATTTGACTTAATATCGCTGAACTAGATTAAAATAGACACACCTTTCGATTCAGTCAAAGACTCGGCTCCAACCGCGGCTCGAAACAACATCTCAACATGTGGCACTTCTTCAGCACTTCACTTCAAAGCATCAAAAACTTGTAGTCACCGTCGGGCACCGATTGAAGGTCAACCAAATCGATTTGACATCGCTCATTTTGTTCTTTTGTCACAATTGGTTTTATAACAATGCCTTTCTTGGGTATACCCTTCTTCAGCTCGCATTCATCATAAAGCTTGACAAAAATTTCAATAATCTCCTTTGATAGTCCATGATAGTCGCGAAGTTCCTTCTACATAATATTGCGTCCAGCGTGTCCTAGTCGTTTGTGAGTATCCATCAGTAGATTGAAGAGCTCCTCCTTCTTAACCACTCGCTTTGGTTGATTGTTTTGCCCGCTTCCGTTACTCCGAGAGATTCGCGTGGTCCTGTTCGTTCGCTAGCGAAATCATTTGATTCATAATCGGCTACGACATATATATATATATATATATATATTCAGAGCCCACGCTACCTTCAAGGGAATTTCCAAATAACCCGCTTTCTGGGCACCCTCGCACGGAAGCTTAACTCACAGCTGCAATGCGGGAAATGCCCAAGTGAAGGTGAGTTATTTATCAATGGTAAAAAGACAATCACAAATCGACTGCGAATTATCTATGAAAAGTAATTCTTAAAGATTATTCAGAGAACCAAATTTTCCTCCAAATTGAGCGCTATCCGGCGATTTGCGGTGTATCGAAACGAGAAGTGATCGGGCCGAAACAGTAAGCTCATTTTTGACAGTTTACGCAGCCACTTTACATTCATAAAATCAACCAGCTTTCATTGTATTTTCTCTCTAGTGTCGAAAGCACGAGCGACGAGTTGGCGAAGAAATTCGTCGACTTTGGAGTGATCCCCGAAGAGACATTGAAGGTGATCAGGGGGGAGAATGTCGAGAATCAACACAGCTTCGAATTGAGTGTCAGTTCAAAGAAATATCAATCAAAAGCTTTGGCTAAATTCCTCTTATTGCTCATATTGAGGGGATTTCAGGAAGCGCTCGACTTTTTGACCGATTTGCTGGCGCCGGTGATCGAGGATTGTTTGAGTGACGAGAAGTTGATTGGTGGGTTTTGAAAGGAGAATTTTTTAATCTGGAACTCACACGTTTAGATTTTTTATTACAATAGCTAGTTATTTTAGAAAATTTTCAAATACTGTAGTAGTTAAGCTAGAAATTTTAAGTCAACTTCTTCAATGGAGAACGAGAGAATTTCAAGAAGGAGATCGCTACGAATCAGAAGAAATTGTGGAAAAGGCTTAATGAGGAAGAGATACCAATCAATTGTCGACATTTCATCCCGAAGAGTGTTGCACAAGTGAGTGGGCAAGGAAAAAGGGAAGATTAAGCAAGCTTTATGACAACTATTAGGGTGGTGCAAAAGAAACTGCCGATGGGTATCAGCTCTCATTTATCAGAAACGAGCGATGCTAACGGCATTATTTTTTTAATGTTTTTTTTTTTTCGCATATTTGTTTGCTATTTATTTCGACATTTGAATTTTTTGGTTTTTTTAAAAATTTTATTTAAAAATGCTTATATTTTTTTTTATTTAGATCATGGTCGAGCAAAAGTTTGTGCTACGAGCAGCATTACTGTGGCGAATAGCCACTAAAAGTTTGTGCTACGAGCAGCATTACTGTGGCGAATAGCCACTAAAAGTTTGTGCTACGAGCAGCATTACTGTGGCGAATAGCCACTAAAAGTTTGTGCTACGAGCAGCATTACTGTGGCGAATAGCCACTAAAAGTTATCTAACTCTGACAGCCTAAAAAAAATTGAACAAATATTGAGGAAATCGGTGCGCCTTCATTCTATTTCGCGCCCCAAATCATTTATTGTTTTGTAGCTTGTTAGCTGAGTATCTTGTGTTAAAGCCTATGCACTGTTGTTCATTTTGTTTTTTTTGTGGGGGTGGGACAAATGCGACCTTTTTTTTGCGCACCTGGACATTTGCGCACCTTTTTTTTTGCTGGAAAAGGCCTTAGGAAAGGTCGTAGAGCTTCAAAAATGTTTTCATAGAAGGGTATCGTATGCGTAGATTCCGAATTTCGACAAATCACACCTCGCTGACACGTCAAATTTGGGCTAAAAAGGCAAAACTGCGGAAAAGCGTTAAGTTGCGTAGTTTTTGCATTTTAGCTCAAATTTAACGTGTCAGCGAGGTCTGATTTGCTTTTGATTTGTCGAAATTCGGAATCTACGCATACGATTCCCCAGTATGGAAACATTTTCGAAGCTCTACGACCTTTCCTAAGGCCTTTTCCAGCAAAAAAGGTGCGCATATGTCCAGGTGCGCAAAAAAAGGTCGCATTTGTCCCACCCCCTGTTATCTTTCATTTTTTTTTCTTTCTGCTTTCCTCTCATTGTGTGAAAGTTGTGTCCTAATTAGGACGAAGTTGTTTCTGTTTTTTATCGTCGCTTTTAATTCAATTGTCGATCTTGTGTGAAAATTGCTCAAGTGAGATTCCGAGTCAGTCGGCTATTGAATAAAGTGTTTTTAGTTCAAGTGAGATCAGATATCTCGAAACAAGAAATAACGTGTCTTGAGTGAAGAGTACCAAGCACGCGAACAATATTTCTTTACAATTACTGTTTAACTTCAAAATTGGAAAGTCTGCTGCCGAATCGCATCGTTCTCTCTGTGCTGCTTTCGGAGATGGCAGTTTGTTTGTCTCTCAGGCAGTGTCAGACTTGGTTTCAACGATTCCGAGAGGGAGACGAGACTTTGGAAGATTACGAGCACGGTTTGAGGCCATAAGTCGTGAACGAAGCCAAGCTGAGGGACGTTATTCAGGCCGATCCATGCCAATCTGCTCGAGATCTTGCGAAAATATTCATTGTGATCATTTCACCATCGAACGCCATCTTCACGCTATTGGAAAGAAAAATCGTTGTGGAAGATGGGTCCCTCATCAACTCAGTGAAGCTAACCTCGCTAAATTCTCCTGTATCGTGCAAAGAATGACGGATTTCTTGATTCTATCGTGACATCGGATGAGAAATGATTGCATACGACAACTTTACGCGAGAACGACAGTGGCTGAGCGCCGGCGAGCGTTCTGTTCCAACCCCAAGGCCCGAAATCCACGGGAAGAAGATCTTATTGTCTTGTATGGTGGAACAGCAAGGGTTTGGTGTACTTTGAATTACTGGAACATAGAAGAAACGGTCACTGTGGACTTGTATGCTCATCAGCTAGACGGAGTGTACAAAGCAATGGAACGCCAGGGTGGGAACATGACTTTAGTGAAGCTCTTGCATGACAATGCTAAGCCGCACGTTGCGAAAATCACACAGCAGAAAATCAAAGAATTTGGATGGGAAGTTCTGCCTCACCCGCCATATTCTTCTGATATGGCTCCAAGTGATTATCACCTATTTTGCTCGATGCAGCACTTTCTGAAGGAGAAACAGTTCAAGAATGATGATGAGATCCGTAACTGGGTGCTCAACTATTTTGAGTCCCAGGAGTCCCAGTTCTTCGGAGATGGCATTCGGTCTCTTCGCGTTCGATGAAGGAAAGTCATCGATGCTTGTGGTGAATATTTCGATAAATAAAGATTTCTCGCTTTGATGTTATGTTTTTTTGAATTTACCGTCAAATCGGCAGTTCCTTTTGCACCACCCTAATATATATTTAGATGTTTTTCATCTAATCACTTTTACCTATTCGATCAACCATTAAATGTAATGCCAAAATGTTCAGGAAAGTGTCCAAAACATCTTCAACAACAAGTTACCCCTTAGCCAAAACTCCTGGCAACATTTGAGTGAAGCGAAGCGACTCATCAATCCCAGCGCTTCACAGAAGTCAGTTATAAAAGGGATTTATGATAAATGTTGAAATTCAGTGTTGAGTCGTTTCGTTTACCCAATCAGATACACATGATTCAATCAAAAGAGGCAACAATTCAAGCAAAGATCTACGGTAAGAATTGTCTGGATAATGGTGAAAGATCTAAGGATACAATTGTATAAGTGTACAAGGTACAATTGTACTGTACAAGATACAATTGTACAAGTGTACAAGATACAATTGTACAAGTGTACAAAATACAATTGTACAAGTGTACAAGGTACAATTGTACTGTACAAGGTACAATTGTGCAAGTGTACAAGATACAATTGTACAAGTATTGCAATAAGACTTTTCTAATTGTAGTAATCGTAGAAGTGCTATAAGGTACTGAAATATTGATATAATATCTTTAACCTTTAAAAGTAGACTCTTTCTAGAACTGGAAGAGGAGAAGGATCTTGATTTTGATGCGTTGACAATCGACGAGCTGAGGGCAGTGTTGCCGAAAATCGATAAGAACACGAAAAAATGGTACATAGGCAAGAAAGAGCAACGACGTATGAAAAGCAAAAAAGACTTTGAGATTAAAGAAAATTAAAGAACAGCTCTGCTGGACGACGAGTGTACCGTCATGTGTCCTTTCATCGAGGTGCTCGACGAGGTGAGTTGGTTGGGGGAAAATCTCAAATTCCTAATTGAAAACCGTTGTTAAAAATTTGAAATTTTACTTAGCTGGATGTCACACTATTTTAATTAACTCTCATCTTCAAGGAACACGGCTTTTAAATAGTTTTCAAATTTTATTTAGATGGAAAAACGATTCACGCGTCGAGTTGAATTATTTGAACGAGATGAAGAATTTGAATGTGATTCCAAAAATGCTTGTGCCATTCTTTATGAGAAAGGTTAGTTGTTTTGATGTTTTCGAATTGATAAGTACTTTCCAGATAAGTACATAAAACATAACAATAACCTTTCCAGCGTTATGTTCCTTATCTTTTCAAAAACCTTCAAAAGCTAATGTTTGAGATTCGACGTGAGTCAAATGGTGATTTATTTGAAATATTATAATAATAGATAATATTAGATAATATTATAAAGTCTTAGTAATAACTTTGCTTAGATTTCCTTCGAAAAAATCCGAATGGACGTTGTGAGCTTGACGAGGAAACATTGAAATGTGTAAAGCATCGGAAAGCATCGTCCCATGATGAGATTTGCTCTGTTTGTACTAATACAGTAATCATTAAACTTTTAGATATACAATCTAATCTAAAATCGTATCCCTTCCAGAAACTTGGCCGAAGAATCGCCGCCACAACTTGGAATTTCTGGCATAATGAGCCGATTTGTTTGCCATCTAATGTGCCATTACCAAAAATAGTAAGTTTTCTAAAATATCTAATACTTTGGATAGATTTAACCTAAACAAAAGACTAAAATAGATCAAAGATTAAAATAATTAAAAGAAATCCACTTTGAGAACAACAACGACAAGACGCAGTGCCGGATTTCTTTCATCAACGAAGAATCGAGTGAGTATTAAGTGAAAATTGTAGGGAGGAATGGATTGGGTATGAGGAAAGAGGTCAAACATTTGGTCATGGTTATCACAGATGTTTTTTTTGTTTAACATTACAGTGATAAAGCTTGTTTAGTTTATGTTTACAAACTTTGAAATGATCAAATTTACTTTTTAGATCATCGAAAGCGATCATCAATCAATAAACGATCTCAGAACAATATTGGTGATTGATTTTTGTTGAAAACTAAAGCTTAGATATTAAATTTAAACTTGATAAATCTTGAAATGATTGAAAGAACTTATTCTTTAAGATCCGAGAAATGTCAACGTGCTAACGGATCGTTTCATCAGTCCACTGTCAAAAGGTTTTTCTTTTTAAATGTTTAAATGTTTAAATATTTAAATGTTTAAATATTTAAATGTTTAAATGTTTTTCCTTTTTAAATGTTTATAATAGTTCTGTGAATGATTAAAACTGAATATTCAGATAAATTAAATTCAACGAGTCAAATCAATAAACGAAAGAGTAGCTCACCGCAAAGAGATCCAATAAAGCGCCCAACATATCGCTGGGTAACGCCTGAATGGAAGGTGCCGCTGGATGGTTGGTTTATTCGAATATATTGGTATATTGGTCACGATATATTAGTACAAGAGGTATAAGAGGCCCAATAGAACAAGTTCCCGTCATCCTGTCATCAAGATCATTCAACTTTTCAGAGAAACGAGCCCGTGAAGGGAATAGCAAGGATCGAGGATTGCCCAGTTTCCAAACCTCTTTTCAGGGTTTGGAAACTGAACAATCCTCGGTAAATCTTTCACTTTAATATACCGAATTAATATAAGTAATACATATAAAAGTTTAAATTAACCACGAAAAAATCAACCACCAAAAATGTGCAAAAGGATGAATAATAAAATCTGGATTTTTAAAAGATCTTTGAGTCTTTATGGGCAAATTTCATACAAGTCTTTTGATGCTCAATCTCGAGTCCACAATATTATTTAGAAAGCACAGACTAGCTGAACATTTGTGTTTTAGAGATCCCACTACCGGAGGGGATACCACCGAGAACAGTGGAAAGAGCACAGAGCGCCAAGCTCTCAGCACCAGAGCCAGGTCGAGTTTTCAAGTTAGATTAAAAGTTATTGTGGTTTTTGAGCTGGAGGTCGTCATGATTACTGTAGCACTGGTCTGAAAACGGTAGTTTAATTTCAACATATAGTTTTCAGTTGTTCCCGAATCACCACCTCCAGCTCAAGAGCCACAACCCATCTACAATCACAGTCTTGTGAAAGAAGAAGTAAACTCGGCTGAAGACGGGTTTGTGGAAGAACCTCAGTTGTTATTGGAAGAAGAAACCGAAGTAGAGAATGATGGGGAGAATCGAGATGAAGCGGTCAGTTCCAGGCTAAGATTTTGGGAAAAAAGTCGGCTTTGAAACGGTTTTTAGATTGTTGATGAGTTGTCTCAAGTGCCAAACATCTTTCCATTGACGAAGAAATTCCTGCGTCTTTTGGGGAAACAGTGTGGTCGAACAGTGATCACTTTCAGTGAAGGTGGGTCAAATTTGTGTTTCTCTAAGAAGCACCTAAAGCTATGGTGTCTCTAAATAAACAATATAATCTAATTTTTCAGTCGATGAGGATAATTTGTGGACTGTGAGCGTCTCATTTTCGGAGATTCATCCGAATCTCTTTAGTGGATGTGCAATTGATGAGGATGTGAGGTTCAATTTTGGTTTTCGATTCTGAATCCAATATTCCAGTGTTGCCGAGTTGAAAGCGTACAACCCTTTGTTGGAAACGTTGGCTGACGATCGAATTGTCCCACGAGAGTTAGTGCCTTGTATTCAACATTGTGCGGTAAGTGGTTTTAAAAAAAAGCAAAGCAAAACAAAGCAAAGCAAAGCTTTATTTCGAATGCAGACTGCTTTTTTTCAGGATTGGGGTCCTCCACTCGCCGAGCAAATAGCTTTACTCTTTGATATTGTCATCAACATATATGCAACAAGTGAATCTAAGAAATATCTATTCAAAAACTAGATAAAGTATTAATATTATCTATTTCTAGTCAATTCTGACGCAATGTATGCTCCGGAGAGGGTACACAAGGCGATTTACGAGTACTCGAGCGAGTATTGGAGGAAAACCTCGCTCGCTTTGCCTGCAGAGATTGAGTTACCTGAGGTGACTATAAATAACACCAGAATACTCAGTTACCGTTGTTTACTCTTTAAAAACTCATTACAAAGATAAAAACTCATTACATTACAGTATTCATCAATCCTTTCGAAGCCAGAAAACGCGAAGAACTTGGTGATGCTAGTGAGCGCTCCACCGATTGTCCAACAGCCGAAAGTCGATCCAGAAAGCATCCACAACTTCTCCAATTCATCCAACTCATTTGCAAGTATTTCCTGGGAATAACGGTTTGCTTTTTTTTTTTTATTTCTATAGATTTTCTAGAGTCGTTTGATGGTAAACCTGATGCTTTTTTTTGTGGAAATTTACAATTTTTATAGTCTTTTTCTTCAATCTGGAGTGCTGTAATTGTCGATTTCTATGTACGGTAGCTTTAAGTTTATACAAAAATCTTTAATTTCACAAAACATTGATTCTTGACAACACAAGTATTGCTGAATTTGAAGCCGGTAATAAAGATGGATCTAAAAATATCAAATAAATCAATCGATTGCACTAGAAATGGCTCGTTTACACAAGTGCTGACCATAAAGAAGAACATTTTGAAATGAACCATCAAACCGACGTCTTTTCGAATCTCCGATAGGACTCTGAAAGAAATTTTTCGGCCATCGAGGCACTAAATATTTTCTACAGCCATTTTCTACAAAACAAAAAGTCTTTTAACACTCAATTTTTTTAAAAAGTTACATCGATTTTCTTTTGATAAAGTTCTTGGCGCTCTTTAAGCGATTACCCTAAAGTCTCTCGAGTATAAGTTGATCCGAGTATAAGTTCTGCCTTAATTTACATTCGCTTTCGCTTTAATTGCTTTGAATTTCTTTTTGTTGGGTTTTTATTGTTATATAAACTTTTATTATTGTTCTTGGAGCGCGGGATGCTACAGGGTGACAGCCTATCACCATTGCTATTTCTTATGTGCATGGATACACATCCAGACGATAGTGTTGAAGAAGACACTGGAAAGAAGACGCATCTCTTTCGACCGTCGACGTGGACTTTGGCCGGATGAAGAGGCCAGGAAGGGATCAATAAGACTGAGCACCGGAGAGGAGCAGGGCGGACGCGCCGAGCCACGCCCGGAGCAACAAATAACAGCATAAAATTTGCTATAACCCTCAATAAATTTACTTCTATTATTGTTCTTAAAAAGCAAAAAAAGTTATGCTGCAGCGGGGTTCGAACTGTCGACACAACGCACCGGAGACAGCCGTCAATTTGCATGCGAAAACCAAACAGAACTTATACTCGCGACTTTAGGGTAATAGTTTTAGTTACGCAAATACAGGGTGCGGCAAAAGTTTGAAGCCGCTTCTTAAGATAGTTAAAGGTTTAAAAACTAGCTTTAAAAAGTTAAAAATTAATAAAAAACTCTTTATTCGAATCATAACAACAAATAACTTATAACAAATGCTCGAAATTTCCACCATTCGCTTCGATACACCTCTTTAAACCCTTTAAGAAGTTCCTCACGATGGTGGCGCACGCTTAAACAGTTATTTCATCCCAGACTCGTTTCAGAGCAGATTTTAAAGCATCCACTGTTTGATACATCTTCATCGAGATCTTGCCTTCCAAAATAGCCCAAACAGAGTAATCGAGGGGATTAAGATCTGGCGAATTTGAAGGCCAAATGGTCTTATCCCAAAAGCCTGGAAACAACTGAGCGCAAACGTTGAGAGTTGAGTGAGCACCATGCTCAGGAGCCCAGTCCTGTTGCAGGAAAAAAAAACCAGCTTATCCAAAGTGATTTGTTGCCCAATGTTTCAAGACATCTTTTAATACCAGTTGTTGGCAGTTTTTAGCATTCATCTTGACGTTTCTGTTCAAAAAAAAACAGGCGGTGTCTTGCTTGTAGCACACATACCTCCACAAACCATAATCGAAGCTGAAAAATGCTTTCTAACCATCAAATTTCCCGCAAATGTGTTCTTCAGACCCCTTTTGAGAAGTTATCTATGATTTTGGCGGTTGTGCAAAGACTGGATAGAAAAAATCTTTTCATCTGTGAAGAAGATCCTCTCAAGTAGGCCAGTCGCCACCAAGCGCACCATCTTCTTTGCTAGACGCTATTGATGAATACTGTAGTTCTTCGTAATGAGTTTGTAATGAGTAAACGGTAACTGAGTATTCTGGTGTTATTTATAGTCACCTCAGGTAACTCAATCTCAGGCAAAGCGGTTTTCCTCCAATACTGGCTCGAGTACTCGTGAATCGCCTTGTGTACCCTCTCCGGAGCATACATTGCGTCAGAATTGACTAGAAATACATAATATTAATACTTTATCTAGTTTTTGAATAGATATTTCTTAGATTCACTTGTTGCATATATGTTGATGACAAAATCAAAGAGTAAAGCTATTTGCTTGGCGAGCGGAGGACCCCAATCCTGAAAAAAGCAGTCTGCATTCGAAATAAAGCTTTGCTTTGTTTTGCTTTGCTTTTTTTTAAACCACTTACCGCACAATGTTGAATACAAGGCACTAACTCTCGTGGGACAATTCGATCGCCGGCCAACGTTTCCAACAAAGAGTTATACGCTTTCAACTCGGCAACACTGGAATAGTGGATTCAAAATCGAAAACCAAAATTGAACCTCACATCCTCATCAATTGCACATCCACTAAAGAGATTCGGATGAATCGCCGAAAATGAGACGCTCACAGTCCACAAATTATCCTCATCGACTGAAAAATTAGATTATATTGTTTATTTAGAGACACCATAGCTTTAGGTGCTTCTTAGAGAAACACAAATTTGACCCACCTTCACTGAAAGTGATCACTGTTCGGCCACACTGTTCCCCCAAAAGACTCAGGAATCTCTTCGTCAATGGAAAGATGTTTGGCACTTAACAGACAACCCATCTAAAAACCTTTTAAAAGCCGTTTAAAGCCTACTTTTTCCCAAAATCTTAGCCTGGAACAGACCGCTTCATCTCGATTCTCCCCATCATTCTCTACTTCGGTTTCTTCTTCCAATAACAACTGAGGTTCTTCCACAAACCCGTCTTCAGCCGAGTTTACTTCTTCTTTCACAAGACTGTGATTGTAGATGGGTTGTGGCTCTTGAGCTGGAGGTGGTGATTCGGGAACAACTGAAAACTATATGTTGAAATTAAACTACCGTTTTCAGACCAGTGCTACAGTAATCAAGGACCACAATAACTTTTGGTATATTAGGTTGGAAAGAAAGTCCCAGAAAAGTTTGACTGGAATTTCTTAAAAACGAATCCACTACTTCAAGAACATTCTCTTCTATGATTTACAAGTGGACTCCAAAAAAAAGTTACTCGTAAAAAAGATCAAGTGCAGCTTTTGCGTTAAAATTTTCGAGACTTTTGAACAAATGACTCTTTTCCAGCCTAAATTCATCTCACTTTTTGCACGAGAAAAAAAAACGATTTCTTATGAGGTAAAGCTATAAATGAGCAACACGCCGCTCTATAATCTCTTTTACAGAGAAGCTATATTTGCAAAAAAAAAAAATCAATAACGAATCATTCGTAAACGACTAGCCGTTAACGAATTATTCGTTAGCGGCTAAATTTCGTAAACGGTTACGACATATATATGCTTTATTCAGGGGCAAATAGAAACAAATCAGATAATCATAACCGCATATAAAATAATGCTACAATACTTTCACAAAAAAAAAGAAAGAAACCTAGAAATACAGTAAGACTATAGTTAGGAAAAACAGGTACAAAAAGATTAAATATAGAGCAGTGCAATAGGATGGATCTATTAGGTTGATACAAAAGTCTTTTTCATTTTTTTCGTACTTCCGTTAAAAAGTAACAAATGCACGAATTGAACAACGGTTTATTGCATTCGAAAGGCCAATTATTTTTCTGCAAAATGACATTAAAACGAGTTTAAAATGTCTTATGTCTAGATTTTTTTGAGACCCTGAAGTCGGGTAGTCAAAAAAGGCGACGGCTCGATGATGCATTTTAGACGCTTTAGCTAAGGAAACCAATCTTGATGTTAATAAATAAAAGATAGAGCACAAAAAGTTCGATATTTTTTCAGATTTTCAGAGAAATTGATTCAGCCAATTTCTTTATAGAGGTTTTTATAGATTTTTATGAAAAACCCGTTTTCACTCTCGAATTTGCTTGAAAGTGAACCCAAATTGACTTAAAAAGATGGGAAAATTCAACAATAAACACTTTTCATTTAGAGCAAACCATAGGTTAATTGATGTCTTTGTTATTTTTCAAAAGAAGTACGAAAAAAATGAAAAAGACTTTTGCATAAACCTAATAATTTCTAATTGACATGACAGTAAGATCTAATTCGTTTATTTCTCTTTATTTCTCTTTCTCTTTATTTCTATTCTTTTCTTTCTCTTATTTCTATTTTAGATTACTTTTAAACCTTTTTTTTTTTTTCTGTGGTTTATCGTTTCATTTCCGTTTGATTGAGTTATAAATTGTAAAAATTGATACTCTCTATTGAGTCTATTATAAAGCCTACAATAGCAAAACTAGCGAACGAAATTTTCAGACAAATCATAATATTTTGGCCGAAAGTACTTTACTGAGTTTTCAGCAAAAAAAAGAAAGTGTTGATTTAACGACAAAATGCATTATTTGAAGAGTGAAGACGTGAGGTGTGGAAATCGGGAAATATTTGCTATCCTCCAATCTACAAATAAACAACAAAACATACTTGCTTTTATTTTTGTTTTTAGTTTGTTTGAATTTAAGGCAATGAGTCATAAAGATGCATTTCTTCAGTCACATTGAAAGGTTTCGGCTAGGATTTTTGGTTTAGCTTGACTTGTAAACAAATGTTTTCTAGTGTGCTCAAAGTCTTTATCCTGGAAAGCAAAGGAGAAGCACTAGAGATCAGTTTTTATCGGTTTATTTGATTCTGTCGTAGAAGTTTGATATTTTGGTGATCTTTTGGTGATCTTTTGGTGATGATTTCTCGTTGATCTTCAGATGTAGATAGATTTGAAAGTCTAAAGCTTTAAAAGACATCTATCTGCTGGCTGGAATGTTAATTGTGCCTTGGTCTCTTGATGATCTTCAAATGTAGATAGATTGTTGTAGTTGTAGATCTATCTGCTGGCTGGAATGTTAGTTGTGGCTTGGTCTCTTGATGATCACACATTTGAGTGGATATCACTTTTCAGGGATTCGTTTGTTGATCTTTGATGAGAAATTCGAGGGATACAAGAAGGGAAAGATCATGAAAGAATCAAATACGAAAGCTGAAAGCTGAAAGGTTTAATCTTTGGTCTAAAATGGATACGTTATCGTAATTCCGATAAATCGGCTAAATCGGGAAACATTTTAAACCAGACACTAACATTAATATAGGCAATCGATTCCATTAACAATCACCAAATCATCAGCCAAATTACGGTAGCTTTTTAAGTCGCTTTTTAAAAGCTTTCACCTATAAAATGAACGCATAACACTTACACATACTGAATGGATATCTGGTGGAGAAAGTAGTGTACTGTACACTACTTTCTTCACCAGATATCCATTCAGTATGGTAGATCACTTCAAAAAACAAAAAAGTTTTCCAAGTCAATCCTCATCCACCACCACACCCACAAATCACTATTTTCCTGATGTTTTCAAGTGCAAAATGATCTTTTCCTCAAAATTCTTCAATGTTTTCTATTTGTGCTCAACAAAAAAAATTAGAGTTTTTTTTTTTGGTAAAAAGGTAAAAAGGTAAAAGGTAAAAATTTCTTTTTATTTTGTTTACCAAAGTGGCTAGCAGTGATTTGGGGCAAAATAAACAGAAAATTGATGAAAAAAAAATGGAAATGAAAAAAAGAGGCATGCGTAGATTCAAAGTATATAAAGGTTTTCAAATTCGCAAAATTTTTTAAATCCAAGAACATGAAAACGATGCTGGTGTTGGCGGCGGCGCTTTTCGCCTTGTCTTCGGCTTACTCGACGACGATGTCGATGAGCAACATGCAGAACGGAAATTGCCGTATTATGGTGAGGGTTTTTGATTGGAATTACTTTTGGTTTTTGATTGGAATTACATTACTTTTTTTCATTTTTCACGTAAAATTTTTAGAAGCTTAAAAATGACGAAATTCAATTTGAGAATGTAAATTTACAATTTTTCAGAATGGTATGTTGTACGATGGATCATCGACTCGACAACTCACATCGTCAGAGACACAGCAAGTTCAGAACTACATGAATGTCAGTCTAAAGGGAATACTATTTAGATGAATAGGCAAAAATAATCTTCAGACAATCTATGGTTGGATTACTGTAGCTGTAGGAAAGGGTACAATACGATTACTGTACCCTTTACAGCAAGAGCTACCGTAGCTTTCTTGCAGTCTAGGATACTGTAGCTTTATAGGCTTTCTGTAAATCTAGCTTTTAGGCTACTTCAAGGAATACTGTTGCAAGATCATGATAGAATTTAAAATATATGTTCAGATGATGGGCGGCAGCCAGAGTGGCTACAACTCTGGCTATGGCAGCACTGGATACAACACTGGATACGGCAGCTCAGGCTATGGAAGCTCTGGATCGAATATGGGATACGGTAGCAGCAGCATGTATGGAACGGGATACGGTACCGGATCCGGATACAACAGCAATCAATATAACCCAAGCGGGTACACTGGATCGACGGCGGTGAGTGAGGAAAAGAAGGCTTTACTTTACAATCAATAAGAGAAGAATTTACTTTGCAATTCCTTTACTTTACTTTACTTTACTAGGGGTAATTGTTATTGACACGTCGGTGAGTGAGGAAAAGAAGGATTTACTTTACAATCAGATACTATCGGTAATTGGCATTCAAGTGATTTTACAGAACGGTTACAACACGAACGGCTACTACAATCCGAGCAGCAGCAGCAGTGGCATGGGCTACAACAGCAACGGAATGATGTACAGCAACACCTATGGAAACAATATGGGTGAGTGCAAACTTTACGAGAATATTACTGGAATAAGACATCGTTTAGGGTATTCTAATAGGTTTGCTAAGGGTACAGTAATCTATAGATTGTCTAGAGTAAGCCAAAATATAGTAAGATAAAGGAAACGAATCGGAAAACGCTATTCAATAGTTAGTTCTGGAGGACTGTAAAGGACACAAGTCTGGGTTTTACCAACTATAGTTGCTTAAGATTCTTAAAACGTTATTCATTTCCAGGTTCCTCAATGGCCAATATGCCTTGCTTGTGTCGACAAGCCACCTGTGCCAGCAACTAAAGAAATTCGAAATTTTATCATTTTACTCGTTTTGTACAGTTATTGATACTCAGATGCTTAAAAATCAAATAAAAATTTGCATTTAAATAGTTTAAATAAAAACAACAAAGACATTCAACAATTTAAGATTAATTGCAAAGATCCCTGATTTCTTTTGAAGTCGTAAATTCAAGTAGAGAGCTCGTCGTCGAGGCGTCAAAGTGATGGAGAGCCTGAAAATAAACTCTAAATTTGAAAGACTGAAATTGGGGAACATAATCAATTAATCTATACTGGCTACCTGCACGAGAATCCCGTTTACGATTTGAGCAGCGATTATCTCCGCTTCTGTTACTCTTTCATCGTTGACAAGGAAAATTGGCGGGGCATTGTCGACTAATTCTATTCTTTTCTCGTCTTTTTCTTCTTGAACTACGATCTAAAATTGTTTTTTGTGTTAACTGAAATTAAGATTTAAAACCGAATACCTTTTTCATTAAGGATCTTGTCGTATTCAACGCGACTTGTCTCGATTGTTGCCCGATTTCAAGAAAAGTTGCAGGGGGTGGCTCGCGCACGTTCCACGCTGCCTAAACATCAAAAGATTTTGTCAAAGACAAGTCAAGGCTAGGGTTAGGCTTAAAGGCAGGCTAAGACAGGGCTAAACCAAGGTTAAGCCAAGGCTAAGACAGGGATAAGCCAAGGTTAAGCCAAGGTTAAGCCAAGGCTAAGCCAAGGCTAAGCCAAGGTTAAGCAAGGGCTAAGCAAGGGATAAGCCAAGGTTAAGCAAGGGCTAAGCAAGGGATAAGCAAGGGCTAAGCAAGGGATAAGCCAAGGCTAAGCCAGAGCTAAGCCAGAGCTAGGTTTATAAAAAGCCCTAGGCAGAAGTGTGTCTCTTGTTTCAAGTTTGATACTAGCTTGAGTCTAATACCAAGCTGAGCTGGCTTTGACATTGACCTGCCATACATTGACCATAAAATCCTGTAAACATTTCTCACCTTTAAGCTCTCAAAGTACAGAAGATTAGCCTTTTCCCGATCGAAGATCATAGCCTCACCGGCAACAGTTCGCACCTAAAATTGAATAGAAATTCTTAATCTAAAACAAGGGACAAGATTTTTGGAATTCCTTCTCCAATTTCTTAGATATATTTTCTCATTTTTGCACTGACATCTTCGATTCTTCTCTTCTCATTTTTCCTTCTTTTCCCCATCAACAAATAGAGCTCATCTTTGAGGCACGAGTGACACAAAATCGCCAATAACATTTGGAAAAATACCTGGAAAACAAAAAATTCTTAGGTAAACAAGATTTTGAGGAAATTTTCGAGAGCTTTGCACAAATCAAAGGTTGAGAATTTTTTTTTTGAAATTTGAAGATACAGTAGGGTCGAAAAGTTTGGAACAATCACCTTCCGGCAAATTTAACTCGATGTAACTTGCGTTAAATACATTCAATTTTGTTACTTTAAAAGCTTTTTTTTGTTGCATTTTTTGTGAACTTTCTGAATGTCTACTTCATTTTATTTCATATTTCATCTTTTTTTTTTTGTCTTGCTCTTTTTCTTGGAAAACCCATTTTTTTAGGGGTCCAAAAGTTTGGAGCAATTTCAAAAATAGCAATACATTTTTAATTTTAAGAAGCCAAATCGTTCGAATTTGACGGAGTATGATAAAGAACTTATTGTGGCCGAAGTAAATCGAGGAAAGAGCCGTCAAGAAGTCGCCACAACATTCGGTGTCACCCATTCAGCAGTAACCAAGATTTATAACAAATGGAAGGTTTCCGGAAATGTGAAACGAGCAACAACAAAGGGAAAGCCGGCTAAACTGGATGAGCGTGATGAGAGGACACTTGTGCTTCCATTTAAGAAGAATCCACGCCTCAATTCAGCTGATCTACGTCGAGACGCCGAGTCAAGCTATGGAGTTTCGCTCTCCAAAACGACGGCTAAGCGCATCTTAAAGTAATTTTATGATTTAAAAAGCAATAAAATATTGCTGTTTAGGAGACAAGGACTCAAAGGAAGTCGTTGATTTCCGGCAAGAACGTGAAGGCTCGGCTCGAGTTTGCCAAGAAGTACTGGTCGGCTGATGATTGGAGCGATGTATTGTGGAGTGACGAAAGCAAATATGAACTCTTTTCCACCAATGGAATTCGATACATTAGACGTCCAATTAATCAAAGAAACAATCCAAAGTATCAAATTCCAACAGTCAAACACGGCGGTGGATCAGTTCTCGTTTGGGGTTGGTTACCTCCATTATCAACGGATCTTATTTGAATTTAGGTTGTTTTTCACGATACGGTGTCGGCCCACTTGTCCGAATCAATGGTATTATGGATGCAGCTGTTTATGAAAACATCTTGAAGACCCATATGTTTCCACACGGCAGAAACAACTTGGCCAACGACTTCATTTTCATGCACGATAACGATCCGAAGCACACGGCCCGGCGTGTTAAGCAATGGCTTCAACAAAAAAACGTCGATGTGCTTCAATGGCCGGCTCAAAGCCCTGATCTGAATCCAATAGAGCATCTTTGGGAGCATTTGGACTGACAAATCCCAACCAGAAACTTCACAAAAACATCAGAACTCATGAAGGCGCTTGAGGAGGAATGGACTAAGATCTCAAGGCAAATCATTGACAATTTGATTGATTCGATGCCAAATCGTTGCGCAGCTGTTATTAAAGCAGAGGGATACGCCACAAAATACTGAATTTTGCCGGTTAATCGTTAAATAAATTGCTCCAAACTTTTGGACCCCTAAAAAAATGGGTGTTCCAAGAAAAAGAGCAAGACGAAAAAAAAAAGATGAAATATGAAATAAAATCAAGTAGACATTCAGAAAGTTCACAAAAAATGCGACAAAAATAGCTTTTAAAGTAACAAAATTGAATGTATTTAACGCAAGTTACATCGAGTTAAAGTTGCCGGAAGGTGATTGTTCCAAACTTTTCGACCCTACTGTAAGGCGAGGGTTTTTTTTTATCTTTTAGCCTGACATCCAGTTTGATTAAAAATGTAAAAAGATAGGGACGTTTTTTGAGGAAAATTTGCTAAAAATCATTGAACCTGTAAAATATTGTAAAACCAGTAGCATTGAGCACACAAAGGCATCAGAGAAATCTCGACTTTCTCGTAGATGAAGAAATAGATCGTGAGGGAGAGAAGGGTGGTTGTTACCTGGAAATTGGAAATTATTTTAGTTCATTCATTGTCGATTTTTAGCCACAGTATGTCTAGAGTCGAGAGAGCTAAGAGGAGGATGGGATAATGTTTTGCTGGTTGTGTATACCTTGTATGGTGCCAAGTACATCAGCATTCGAGCTGCTTGAAGATTGCGACCGGTTTCGAATCTGATTCAAAGATATCTAAGAAACTAAATCTTTTACAAAACCTTTGAAGAACTGTAGCATCTCGTTTTCCTTTCACTTTCTTGTAAGCTCGATGCGCAACAATGGGCAGCATTGAGAACGCCTGAATATTGTAGTGAATTGATCAGAATGATCAGAATGATCAGATTGATCTTCTTTTTTTCATGAACTTACCAATCCAGTAGTGCAAAAGACAAGTCCCAACGAGGCGTAGGCGTAATTTTTTGGAATAAATGACAAGTACATGCCGGTGTTAATCGTCAAAGATAGGGTGATCTGGAAGAAAAGTTTGAAGAACAAGAAAATCAAACAAAGTGACCGAACCGTGATTCCAATCAATGCATATCCGAGAGTCGGCTTCTCGTTCCACATCTCGTCGTATCTCTCGACGAGTACCATTGCCGTCACTCGTTCCACCGCCATTCCCAGCATGATCACTGATGAAAGTTGAAGGCCTAAAGGTTATTTAAAAGACTAGAATTAGATGAAGGATCAAATCCAATGGGGAAAGGGAGGATCAAATGGGGAAAGCTAAAGCACTCACATTGTCTGCCTACAAAAAAAAAAGACGGACAGTCTAAGATCCCAGACTTTCCTTGTAGTAAGAAATGGGGAAAGCTAAAGATGGTGATAAAAAGGGATAAAATAATAGCTATTAAGAAAGCTAAGCTAAGAGAAAGCTAAGTAAGAAATCTTTCAGTAAATTGGTGAGCATTAATTTCGTCTTTTTATTTACCAAAATCTGAGAAGAAATTGTAGATGTTTAGGCGGAAAGAGGTGCTCATCAGTCCATTCCATTCCACTGAAATAAACAATGAAGTGTAAAGATTTGGTGGTAAACTCGAAAACCCACATAAATGCCTCCCTATCCTTAGCAAGAGGGTTGTCGAGTGGGCGAGCGGTTGGAAGACGAGTTGCACGCGGAGATTCGGATGGCAGAACTAAAAGACAGGGAAGATAAAGACAGACTATTTCTAGTATCAATATTAGACTTTAGATATTAGGTTATCCGGTGAAAAGCTTAGCCTGAAGCTTAGCCTGAAGATATGTACCTCTTTTTTCATCAAAATCCTTAAATAGAGCCGAGCCCAGAGCATCAAACCGGCGATACAAAAACATTCGAGAATCTCAAAGGAATTGGGATCTTATTTTTCTTGAAAATGGGATCGAAGCAGATTTGGTTTTAAAAAAACGAACCTGTAACGTAAAGACGAGATCCGGATATTGGTAAAATGTGGGAACACGCTCATCTTTGGTCATAAGCTCCTTTGGTCATAAGGTCAATAGGAAAAGCTAAAGATGGTGATAAAAAGGGATAAAATAATAGCTATTAAGAAAGCTAAATGTAAAGAAAGATTACTCTTAAAGCTTTTGAGTTTCTCAACTTTGAAAATTGATTTTTTTCCCTAGAAAAAAAAAGCAAAACTCTCACGGTAAAATTGAAAAGAGAAATTGGCTAATTTTGTTAATCGGAGAAAAAGGCCAAGAAAATCAAGTTGCCGACAAAAAGTAATCAAATCCGGAAAGCATTGTTGCAAATGATGTTGGGGGATGATTTAAGCTCTCTGTAAATGTAAACGCATTTCTTCTGATGCATTCAATTCGCTTCTTTACCAAGGGAAATTCGATAAGATTTGAAAGATTTTGACTTGAACAAATGAATAAAGGATCTACTCGATTCACTTCTCTCGTTCCCATCGTAACCATTAGGAAAATGGGTGAAGATTTTCTGGATGAGCTGATCGAAAGAAGAATTCCGAGCGGTAATGAGTCGGATTGTGTTTTCAAGAAACGTTTTCAAATAACATCAAAATAGCAAACTGATTTCGAATTGCAAATTTCTTTAAATGAAAAAAATTCAATTTTTATGCGCACTTTAATAACAAAAATAAGAACAATTATTCCTGAAAGTATAACCGATCATTATCTACGAATTTCTGCATCGATCTGCAAGCTTTCGAATCTGGACGAAGTACCACTCCTTTTGTTTCAAATCAAAGAACTCTTGGCAAGCTTCTTCAACTTCTTCAAGTGACTCGAATCGGTGAGATTTCAGGAAATGCTGCAATGATCGGAAGAGACCGTAGTCGGATGGCGCAACGTCCGGACTGTAGGCTTCTGGCGTAGCAACATCTCGTTCTTTATTGGGCTATTGTTTATGTGGAAGAATCAGCTTCACTAGTGGTGGAAGTTTATGTGGAAGAACATGTGCAAACTGGTTTGCTAAATTCCGTTCCGGGGATGAATCTTCAGGAAGGCAACATCCAGCAGTCCAGCTGGATAATGCCCAGTTGCTCGAAATTTTTCAAACCAACAAAAGGCTTTCTTTTTGCGAAATAGCAGAAGAGTTATCAGTTGATCATACAATAATACTCGATCATTCCATACACTTGGGTTTAAAGATAGGGATTCAGAGGATTAAAGATTTAAAGAAAAAGCTTCCATGCCCTGAGTCTTTGATCTAGCAAGTCCTAAAAATTCAAAATTGACGCTAGGCTTAGATGCTCAAAATCTTCTTTACATTAAGTGCCCTCACTCCAGTGATTCCCAATTCATCAAGTACAACACAAACATTTTGGATATTCCATGCCCAGAATGTTTGATCTAGCAAGTCCTAAAACTGCTAATTTGATGGCTAAACAAAGGTGCTTAAATCTTCTTCACGTTATGTGTATTCACTCCAGTGATTCCCAATTCATCGATTACATTACAAACTATTTGGATATTCCATGCCCTGAATGCTAAATCTAGCAAGTCCTAAAACTCCATAATTGATAACCAAACAAAGCTGCCTAAGTCTTCTTCACGTTATGCGTATTCATTCCAGTGATTCCCAATTCATTGAGATCAAAACAGACTGTTCCACTATTCCGCGCCCTGGATGTTTAATCTAGCAAGTCCTAAAACCTCAGGATTGATGGATAAGCAAAGGTGCTTAAATCTTCTTCACGTTCTGCGCATTCATTCCAGTGATTCCCAATTCATCGAGTACGATACAAACTATTTGGATATTCCTTGCCCTGGATATTAAATCTAAAAAGTCCTAAAACTTCATAATTGCTAGCTAAGCTATGATACTCGTATCTTCTTTAGATTAAGTGCGTTCACACCAGTGATTCCCAATTCATTGAGATCAAAACAAACTGTTTGTATATTCGTTTCCCTGAATATTAAATCTACCAAGTCCTAAAACATAAAAATTGACGCTAAGCTTAGATGCTCAATATCTTCTTCACTTGATGTGCATTCACTCTAGTGATTCCCAAGTCAACTAGTTCGATACAAACTGTTTAGATATTCCGTGTTCTGAATGTTAAATTGACCAAGTCCTAAAACTTTAAACTTGATAGCTACAAAAGATGCTTAAATCTTCTTCACTTGATGTGTATTCACCCCAGTGATTCCCAATTCATTGAGATCAACACAAACTGTTTGGATGTTCCATGCCTTAAATGTTTAATCTAACAAGTCCTAAAACTTCAAAATTGCCGATAGGCTTAGATGCTCTACATATTCTTCACGTTATGTGTATTCACTCTAGTGACTCTCAATTCATCGATTACTTTACAAACTATTTGGAAATTCCTTGTCCTGAATGCTGAATCTAGCAAGTCCTAAAACTCCAAAATTGATAGCCAAACAAAGCTGCCTAAAGCTTCTTCACTTTATGTGTATGCACTCCAGTGATTCCCAATTCCTCGAGTACGATACAAACCTTTTTTGATATCCCATGCACTGAATCCTTGATCTAGCAAGTCCTAAAACTTCTAATTTGATGGCTAAACACGTTCTTCACGTTATGTGTATTCACTACAGTGATTCCCAATTCATCAAATACAATACAAACTAAATAAACTCAAAGAAATCAATCACGTTTAAGATCAAACTGAATGTGGTAAAAATGGCAGGAGAAGTTCCTATTCACTCTGCAGCCAAATTCTCTAACGTCGATCGATCTCAAGTGAAACGATACCTCAAGCAGAAAGAAGAGTGAAAAACAACGAATCGACGAAAAGCTCAATCAGCTTCAATTGGATTGTTTCTTTGTTCCTGGAGGCATAGTTTGTTCAATGTGCAGATGTGGCTTTGAATGGTTCTTTTAAGGCACTCATTCGACAGTTTTACGAGAGTTGTTTTGCTGCAAGCACCTGAACGCACAAAAGGTGGGAACTCAAAGGCCTCTGGAATGGTCATCGACTTAAAATGGGTTGCTGATGCTTGCGATTCAAATTCGGAAGAAGTCATTCGTCGATGCTTTAAAAGCTGTGGAGTTGGAATCGATCCAAATGGTGTCGACGAGCAGCTGATATTTAAGCAGTTTTAAGCCTGATGGTCCGGCTCCAACAGGACTACAGTTACTCAGGGATGCACGTATCGAAAAAATCCATAAGCTCCTGGATCCGCTTACTTCAGCAAATTTTCTCGATTTTCGTCAAGAAACAGAAATATGTGAGGAGGAATTTGCGCTGATATATCAGTTGATCCAGAATTTTAGATTTCTGCTTTTTTTCAAAGTTTTGTTGAATTTTACTTGTTTTCGTAAATAAATTAATTGAAAACTGTTTCTTTAATGAGTGGTAATTATCTTGAATTCTCCAGTTTTGATCATGTGAATGGCAAAAAAGCACAATTGAAAAAATCATGAGCCCTCCTCTAATAGTAGCCCCCCCCCCCCAATAGTGACTCCCCTAGAGGATCAGCGGAAAAATAATGTCCCCCGGGACTACTACAACGGCTTTTACGGTATGTGTATTCACTACAGTGATTCCCAATTCATCGTGTACGATACAAATTGTTTGGATATTTCATGCCCTGAATGCTAAATCTAGCAAGTCCTCTAGATTCCAAAATTGATAGCCAAACAAGGCTGCCTAAAACTTCTTTGCATTAGGCGCGTTCACTCCAGTGATTCCCAATTCATTGAGATCAACACAAACTATTTGGATATTCTATGCCTTGAATGTTTAATCTAGCAAGTCCTAAAACTTCAAATTTGATGGCTAAACAAAGGTGCTCAAAATCTTCTTCACGTTATGCGTATTCATTCCAATGATTCCCAATTCCTCGAGTACAACACAAACTGTTTCAATATTCCATGCCCTGAATGTTTAATCTAGCAAGTCCTAAAACTCCAAAATTGGCGCTAGGCTTAGAGGCTCAAAATCTTCTTCACGTTATGCGTATTCATTCCAGTGATACCCAATTCATCGAGTACAACACAAACTGTTTGAATATCCCATGCACTGAATCTTTGATCTAGCAAGTCCTAAAACTTCATAATTGCTAGCTATGCTATGATGCTCGTATCTTCTTTAGATTAAGTGCGTTCACACCAGTGATTCCCAATTCATTGAGATCAACACAAACTTTTTGGATGTTCCATGCCTTAAATGTTTAATCTAGCAAGTCCTAAAACTTCAAAATTGACGCTA